TGCTGAACCCTGTTGGTCAAGTCATTCACAAAAAGCCACACAGGTTCAAGAGAGAGAGGACATAGACTTGAGGGGGATACATTGAAGTCACAATGTAAAATGTGAGACGCATATGAGATGAGAAGTATTGTCGTGGTCATCTTTGAAAAATATAGACTTCCATTCACAATCAAGCCCCACACTGATGGGCAGAAAAATGTCCTCTAGCAGAGTGATTGTGGCAAGCATGGGGAGAGAGGGTAAAACTGTGAGCAAAGAATACAACCTACCACAGATGTGTGGAAATAACCAATACAAAATCATGTTGACAGAAACTAAAACTGACTACATTAAATTGGATATTGACTAAAATACAGAGAATAAAGTTTTGACATTTAGATAATCAAATTTGACCTGAAAAAAATAGGACCAATTAGAGATAATGGACATAGCAGACAACACACAATGGCAGGAAACCAATGAAATCAGATATAGACTAAAAATGACTGAGAGAAGAATTAAATTTTCATGGTGGCATTTACTTCATGAAACCAAGTGATTATCATGAGAAAAATAATTTCGTAAAATTAAATTTAAAATAGGAAACATTAGAAAGAATTTAACTTTGGTTATAAAATAATTGAGCAAGAAATTAAATTGTCTTCATGCAGCTTGTTCAAGAAAACTCTGTTTTGTTGTATTAGGATTAGTGTACTTATAAAAATATTTGAGTTCAAAACTCAGTCAAAATAGTCTTGGGGTAAATACATCTATGAGGTCAAAACATTTGGGTCAAAATATCTTGTAATACCATAATTTTCTGTAAAAAATGAAGAAACTCAAAAGACAAATGAGGAACAAGTATTTATATGTATGAGAGATAAAACACTGGTTTCTTTCATATGTTTTTAAAACTCCATCTGACAAATCAGTAAGAAAAAAAGAATGCAGTAGAAAGTGAGCAAAGGTCATGATCAGGAAGATTACAGAAACAAAAGGCTTAAAAATTTCTTACGGAAAAATTCAAACATACAGAATAAATAGTTTAACAAACTCTATGTGTCTTCCGTCATCCACAATTATCTTCTCATGGCTTACTCATTTGCCTACCCCCACCCCTGAATTACTTTAATAAATCTCAGATGTTAACAATTTCATTAACAAATATCTCAGTATGGGTTTCTAAATAATAAGAACTATTTAAATATACATAACCAAAATACTGTTAATATACCTAAAAAGTCTTACCAATATTTCCTTAATAGCAAACATCCAGTCAGTATGCAAATTTCTCTAATTGCCTCATAAAAGTTTTATTTTTTTAAATTTCTTGGATTGAGGATCCACCTTAAATCTCATGATTGCAGCTGGTAACCTGAATCTTTGGCTGATTTTGGTATCAATGCAATTCTCTTCTCTCTTCTTCTATTTTCTGGAAGAGATTGTGTAGAAATACTGTTAATTCTTCTTCAACTATTTGA